CTCACCGCCCGTATCCCAGTATCCATAGACTTTCCTCCCATCCACCTCCAGGGGAACAAGGCACTCGCTCTGCAGGGACAGCCCCGCGCCCACTCTGTAAACGGAGAACTTTGAGTCCGGAGTATCCGGCCCCGCAGAGAAGCTGGCCTGGGGCACTTCTCTCTCTTGAGCAGTTGATAAGCTGCCAGGCCCTCTTGCCTGGGAAGCCTGCCCCTCGTCCGTCTGGGCCTCTACCAAGTTAACCCGGTGTTGGTTCGGTCTGCTCAGTCTGTCCTTGAGCTTGGGGCACTGGGCCCGAATGTGGCCTCTTTGGCTGCAGTAATAGCAGCTCATGACCCATTGGTCCCCTCGAACCGGTCGGTTGTCCCTGACGCTGGGCATTCCCCGTGGGAGGGGATTCCCCATAGTCCCCCTTTGGGAGGTCCCCGGGTGACTCTCTCTCTGCATCGCAGCGGGCCTGTTCCTTTGGGACTCCTCCCTGCCACCCCCTGACCAGCTCTTCACAAACTCATTGGCCAGCCGCCCTGCGTGTCGCGTGTTCTCTGGCTTTTTGTCCCTCAACCACAGCCTCAGGTCAGATGGACACCACTCATATAGTTGCTCCAGTACCAGCAGTTTAAACAGGTCCTCCTTCGTCTGGGCCCCATCTGCCCACTTGCTGGCGTATCCCTCCATGCGGACGGCTAGTTGCAGATATGAGATGTCAGGGGGTTTATCCTGACTCCGGAACCTTTCCCGGTACATCTCAGGAGTCAGTCCAAACTCATGTAGCAGGGCCTTTTTGAATAGTTCGTAGTCCCCTTTCTCCGCCCCTTCCAGTTGGCGGTACAATGCCACGGCTTTGGGGTCCAGTAAGGGGGTGAGAACCTGGAGTCTGTCCGCAGGATCAACCTGGTGCAGCTCGCAGAATGTCTCAAAGGCATCCAGGAAGTCATCCATGTCCTCCCCCTCCTTATGCTGGGCCAAGATGCACTTATCAAAGCTCCGTGCAGTCCTGGGTCCCCCCTCACTCACCACAGCCGGGGGCTCGCTGCCCCTCAGCCTCGCCAGCTCCAGTTCATGCTGCCTCTGTTTCTCTTTCTCCTCCTGTTCATGCTGTCTCTGTTGTTCACGATCTGCCAGCTCTCTCAGTTTTAGCTCTTTCTCCCATTCCAGCCACTTCCGCTCCATGGATGCTGAGCGTCACCGGGAGGACTCCCCTGCTGGCCGGCGAGCTTTGTTGGGAGGATCCCCTGCTGGCCGGGGGGGTCATGGTGCCCTCGGTATTTGCTGGGCTCCTCCTCACCTTCCCCAGGCATAATAAGGAGGGGTATCGGGAAGCCCTCAGCAGCCGTCTGACCACTCCCAGCTGGGACAGACACTGGTGCCTGCGCTACATCTGCCAGGCTGCTTCCCTCAGAGACAGGGATCAGTTCATTCGAGCGATCTCCCTCCTCCAGCTGGGCAATGAGCTGTTCTTTGGTGAGCCTCCCACTGTGCAGCCCCCTCTGCTTGCACAGCTCCACCAGGTCACTCTTAAGCCGCGTGGCATACATCTTCCTGCTGGCCACTCACAGGCCTGGGTGCTCACCGCTCCCCACAGTTTCCAGGGAGACCCCTAGTGTGCCAGCCCTTCTTGAGGTCACCATCTCTCTGCCAGGGTCGACTGCAGACTCCTCTGCCCTTGGGACCACTCGCTGCGATCCCCCGGGGGACCGTTACTGCAAAAGTCCTTCTCGCTGATCACACACTCCCAGGGGTGAATCGCCCCCTGAAACCGTACCTCATTGACTCTTCAGAACACCTGGTCCCCGTCAATCTCCCTTTGTTTTACTGCTTCCCAGTTGCTTACGGCAGGAAGTGCCGTCCACGGGGTGCAGTAGATCCCACCACTGCCACCAGTTGTCACGGAGTGTGGGGGAGTCAGGGCCCTGCACCCCTCTTCCTGAGATTCACCATGACTCTCAGCCAGCCAGTAAAACAGAAGGTTTATTAGATGACAGGAACACAGTCCCAAGCAGAGCGTGTAGGTACAACCAGAAGCCCTCAATCAAGTCCTTCTGGGGGGTTTAGGAAGCTTAGACCCCAGCTTAGGGTTCCCTGTGTTGCACCACCCAGCCCAAACGGAAACTACAATAAACTCCTTCAGCAGCTTTCTCCCCCATCCCCTCTCCTTTGTTCAGTCTCCCGGGCAGAAGGTGTCACTTCTCCCAACGCCCCCTCCTGGCTCAGGTTACGGCTCAGGTAGCTTCCTTCAAGGGAAGTCCCCCATCCCCAATGCAACCCCCCTGCAACATTCCCAGGTCAGTCCGCCACGCTCCCTGCGCCGTCACAGCAGTATTCAAGATGTGGGCGTACCATGGATTTATACAGAGGCAATATGATATTTTCTGTCTTATTATCTATCCCTTTCTTAATGATACCCAACATTCTATTTGCTTTTTTGACTGCCGCTGCACATTGAATGGATGTTTCCAGAGAACTATTCACAATGACTCCAAGATCTCTTTCTTGAGAGGTAACAGCTAATTTACACCCCATCATTTTATATGTATGGATGTGATTATGTTTTCCAATGTGCATTACTTTGCATTTATCAACATTGAATTTCATCTGCCATTTTGTTGCCCAGTCACTCAGTTTTGTGAGATCCTTTTGTAGCTCTTCATAGTCTGCCTGGGACTTAACTATCTTGAGTAGTTTTGTATCATCTGCAAATTTTGCCATCTCACTGCTCCCCCCTTTTCCAGATCATTTATGAATATGTGGAATAGGACTGGGCCCAGTACAGACCCCTGGGGGACACCACTATTTACCTCTCTCCAGTCTGAAAACTGACCATTTATTGCTACCATTTGTTTCCTATCTTTTAACCAGTTACCAATCCATGAGAGGACCTTCCCTCTTATCCCATGACAGCTTACTTTGCTTAAGAGCCTTTGGTGAGGGACCTTGTCAAAGGCTTTCTGAAAATGTAAGCACACTATTTCCCCCTGGCCACATGCTTGTTGACCCCCTCAAGGAATTCTAGTAGATTGGTGAGGCATGATTTCCCTTTACAAAAACCACGTTGACTCTTCCCCAACAAATTATGTTCATCTAACTGTCTGATAATTTTGTTCTAGTTTCAACCAGTTTGCCCGGTACTGAAGTCAGGCCTGTAATTGCCGGGGTCACGTTTGGAGCCCTTTTTAAAAATTGGCATCACATTAGCTGTCCTCCAGTCATCTGGTATGAAACTGATTTAAATGATAGGTTACAAACCACAGTTTGTAGTTCTGCAATTTCACATTTGAGTTCTTCAGAACTCTTGGGTGAATCCCATCTGGGCCTGGTGACTCACTGACTGCCTATGGGGCCAGGCCCGCCTCCTGTCCCTGTGTCTCGCCTCCTCCAGCTGGGAACTGGGGGTCAGATAACACCAACCTAACCCCCCCCCCATTCAAAGCACTCTGAGTTCTAGAGCCCAGTGCCCTGATCCAGCAGAGCTCCAGGCCCAGCTGATGCCATTGCTGCGGAGGGGGGAGGGAGAGAATCTCTTCCTAGCGCAAGTACTTATCCAGCCCTAGGATTATGGTATCTGAGCGCCTCACTAATAGCAGGGCATAGCTGTTACCCCACTGTACAGATGGCAACTGCAGCAGAGAGGCTAAGGGACAGGCCCGAGGTCACACGGGAAGGCTGTGGCAGTGCGGAGGATTTCCCAAGTCTTAGCTAGTGCTCTGGCCACTAGGCAGCCCTTTCTCCCCTCTGAGTGGCTCTGTGGTGCTTCAGGGAGCCCTGGGAGCTCAGAGTCTGCAGCTCCCGTTCCAAGGCAGGAGACAGTCACCAATGGCGAAGCTAAAGCCTCCCCCATGCGCTGCGGGGGAGGAGGGTACTATGGGGTTAAAAACCCAGAGCAAGCTGCCCCTTGGCTCCCCTGGGGCTCCGTGACATCAACACTCCAGCTCTACGGTGCCACCTAATGGCTGCCTGGTCCGGCCCCCATAGGGCCAATGCAATGCTAGGCTCAGGGGCTGACATGCAGCTGGTGCGGGTCAGCGTGCACCCAGGCCCCAAGCCGAGCCCTGCCCTCTGGAGGCCACCTCCTGCCCTGTACAGCGCATGTCACAGGAACCTGCCAGGACCCAATGTGGCCAATGCCCCTCAGGCCCATGCCAATGCCAGACTCTGCCAAGCTGGCAGCATCCCTCTCACAGGGACAATGCCCCTTTCAGCTTGGCACCGCCCAGGCACCCAGAGCGTCTGGGAGGTGGCCAGGGAGCTAAGTGCCCATTGTCGGCTCTCCGGCTGCTTTGGCCCCGCTGCAGGAGCCCTGCAGGGGATGTGCCCCTGGCCCTCACGTCCAGCTACGAACTTGGTCCTAGAAATCCTTGTCCTGCCCCTCCCTTCACTCCAACCCTGCCCTGCCCCACACACTGCCACAGGCAGGTCACTGCGGACACTGAGCCAGGCAAGCACCTACCACCTATCCCTGAGTGCTGGCTGCATGTTTGGAAACCCGGCCCCTGCTCATTCCGCACAAACAGTGGCATTAAGACCCAGGATCCCACGGGATCCTCAGGGCCCCCTGGCATAGCCTCAGGACATCTGCTCTACTGCAGCTCCCATTAGCCAGGGGCAGAACAATTGTCACTGGAATCCTTCAGCTCAGCCATTCTAGAGCCAACTCAGCTCCTCATGTCGTGTCCTGAGTAACTGGTCCCAGCCCCTCCCTGCGCCCCCGGCAGCTGGCTCTGAGCCCACCCCAGCTCCCTGCAGCCCCCCACGCGTGGCTCTAAGCCCACCCCATCGCTGTGCCCCACAACCCTGGGTGGGCTAGGCCTCTTGCTAATATCTCTCTGTCCTTCCAAGTGAGGGCTCCAGAAACTGCCCTGAGAGCCACAACACTCACAGCCTCCCCGCACCCCCGACAGCCTGAGCCCCTGGCCGCCCCATGCCTCAGAGAGCCCCATCTGTCCCCACTCCACCCCGGCCTCCTCCAGGATGCAGCAAGGACCACAGGGCCGTCACCTACTCACCGGAGGTGTCTGTGATAGATGAATGACTTGTCCACCCTGAAAAACAAGATGGAGAAGCCAGTTAGACGGGTGGCCATGTCCCTAGGGGACAAGGGCCCCTCCAGCCTGCAGGGCTCCCTCATCCATCCACATCACCCGGCTGGTGACCAACGGCCTCCAGGGGGACATCGGGGCTGCGAGGAAGGGGAGCTGTGTCCGGAGACCTGGAGAGCAGGCAGGGAGGGGCAGACAGCTGCAGAGAATGCTCTCTCGCTTGTGTGTGAGGGGATGGGCAGTCAGGGCTAGCCACGCAGGGCAGCACCAGGGGGCGAATGGGACTCGGGGAGCCACAGGGGAGAGTGTCTTGCAGGCAGCGGGAACCAAGCAGGGAGAAGAGTGATCCACGCCAGGCCTGTAGCCAGCTGCACCGTGTGGTGGAGCTGAGCTGAGCTGAGCCGAGGAGGCAATGAGCTGGAGGGAACAAACCTCAGGCCCAATCAGCCAAGCTGGCAGAGAGAAGCCGCGAACCCAGGCAGAGAGGGCACCAGCACCAGGGAGAAGCAGGCCCAGAGAGCCAGCTCCCAGGCCCTGGCATTGGGCAGGACTCAGCTCAGCAGGGCTAGAGGGCTTTGGAAAGGCCAAGCATTCTCCCCATGACCCCACAGCTTGAGGTGCTAGGACCCCTCCAGGCCAATCCCACGCTCCCTACCCCACACCCTTCACGCCCATTGACCACAGTGAGCACTCCCAGGATTGGACCCTATTGAATTGTGGCTGGTGCTTGGGACCGTCTTGGAGAAAGGGCTGGATGGCCAGGCCTGCTTATTATTAGCCACCATTCATCCAGACCCTTCACAGCCCCCCACTCTACCCTGTTCCCTTCCCCCAGAACTTCCCACCATCCGGGGGAACCTCTCAAACACGCCCTGGAGCCGCCGGCAGCAGCAGGGGAGAGGCAGGGGCAGGGAGCTGGGCAGAATGGTGCCTGGGTGGGATCCTGGCCCAGTCTCATTCAGTCCGGAGAGCCTGGCGAGCCATTATTACTGGGTATGTTGAGGGGGCACATAAAGGCCACAATCATGATCCAGGCCCCCATTGAGTTCGGTGCCGTGCAAACCCCAACACAAAGCCAGTCCCTGCCCCTGCCCCTCCCCCGTTCCACCGCCTGCAGCCCAATCTGTCTTCAGAGCAGGGGTAAAAACAAGTCTTGTGTCCTGGAACCTGTCCAGCCAGCTCAGGCATCAGGCAGCTTCCTGTGCAGCCCTGGGTCTGGCTTAAACAAGACACTGTCTGGAAACACACCATGGACACTGCTTCCCCCAGCAGCAAGCTCGTCTCCAGAGGCTGTTTCACCTGGGAGGAACCCGCCCCGCCCCACGACTGAGACACAGACCGCCTGAAACGCAGCCACCTCTGGCATGAGGCACAGCTAGGGTGACCAGATGTTCCAATTGTATAGGGACAGTCCCAATTTTTGGGTCTTTTTCTTATATAGGCTGCTATTACCCCCCCGTCCCGATTTTTCACACTTGCTGTCTGGTCACCCTAGGCACAGCAGCCAGCGTGCTGCAAAACACAGCAGGGAAGCGATATGCTGAGCCAAGGCGCTGAGGCAAACCCCAAAGGGGCTTGGAACAGCCCCCAAGCCAGCCTGGCCTGGGCCTTCATGAAAATGGGGAGAATTTTAAACTTGGAGGGCCAGATCCTTAGCTGGTAGAAATCAGCATTGTGCCATTGACTTCAGTGAAGCAGCAGCAATTCACACCAGCTGGGGTTCAAGCCCATTGACTTCACTTGTGTTACAGCCAATTCTCACCAGCTGAAAATCTGGCCCCTCATTTCCTCTTCTCCATGCCCTCTGGCTGCATCTTCCTGGTCTCAGTCAATAACCAGACTAGTGAGTTTCCAGTTTGTTTCTAGTCAGTTTCACTTCCAGATTCTCCTGTAGGGCTCTGGGGGCTGAACACCCAGAGGAAGGGTTAAATCCCAAATCAGAGTTTTGTTTTAAGGTAACGAAGCTCTTCCTAGCCTCTTTGGTCTGGGTCTCTGGGGATTGCTGGCTGCCTCCTGGGAGGGGGCCCTTCTCTTTCCCAGGCAGGGCTCTTGACTCCGGACCGGAAGCTTAGGCCTGGTCTAGATGAGAAAAGAGACAACAATTTAACTAAATCAATGCACTGAAATTGGGGCAAACTCCTTAATGCTGATGCACTTAAACTGGCTTAACCGTAGCTGACGGCACTTCAGCTTGCATCAGTGAATAACCCCATTAAGTTAAACTGATTTATACAAGGGTTAAACCAGGTTCAGTGCATGCATGTGTGAGTGGCTGACACTGAAAACTGATCGGGGACTCCAAAGCTAAAAGCAGGAGTTGCTGCAGCTCTCTAGTGGGGTTGTAACAGACTCAGGCCCTCTGCAAACACTGGGCACAGCTGGGGAAGAGATTTCTCCATTTAACTAGCTCAGTGCAGTTAAACTGGGGCAGCTTTCCTCATATGCATCAGGCATCAGCCCAAAGCCCCCCAGCTGCAAGGTGGCAGAGGGATTAGCTGTCGCTACTGGTCTCACTCTTGACTGAAGAGACTGATGCTGAACTGGGGGCAGGTCACAATAACGCCAGCTGAGCTCAGCTAACAGAAGCGTGGCAACGTTTCCCAGTCCCGGAAGTGCCGTGGACACTTGGTCAGGCAGCAAGACAGGCAAAGGAGGGTGTTACGGGTGCGCCAATTCCTCTGTCATTAGCACTGAGTGGGCAGTGCAGCGTGTGCTGGGCAGGGCTGGGGCTGGAGACACTGTACGAAGAGCAAGGAGCTGGCAGTGCAGTGCAGTGGCTGGAGCTGGCAGGCAGGAGCTCTGGAGTCTAGCCCCAGATCTAAGTGAGGCCGACACGGCGACATCGCACAGGGGTGTGACAAATCCACCCTGAGTGATGCAGTGAAACCCACCTAACCACCGTGTAGACAGCGCTAGGTTCTTCCCTCAACCTAGCTACTGCCTTCGGGGAGGTGGATAAACTGGGAGAGCCCCTTGGACTGGGCAGTCGCAGCGTGCCAGCTGGCACGGGGCAGTGACTAAAATGCACCCTAACAACCGTCACTCCCCAGCAGTGCCCCAGAGCTCACTCCAGTGAGTTCAGCGTGTGGGGCTGTGCCCACAAGTGCCAAGGTGCACATGTGTGGGAGGGGGGTAGCCTTGGTGCGAGGCATTGCGCAGCTGTGCTCAGCAGTTGCCTAGGCGACAGTCCGCACCCCACCTGGTGCATGGAGGAGCCCTTCTGGTGTTTGCAAGGCAAGGTGCCCTGGAGAGGCAGGTACGTGCTAATGTGCCTGAGCCCCCGCGGCCTGGCGATGTACAGAGGGTATCCTGGCAACTAATGCACTGTGAGCCCGGCCCCAGAGCAGTAAACACATTCCAACCAGATGAGGGTGAATTTTCATTTCTCCCCCAGCCCCGCCTAGCCTGGCTCCATTCCCAGCCCTTCAGAACAAGACTGGGGGTCATGGGGAATGATCAGCTGAACACGAGCTCCCAGGGCAACACCCTGGCCAAAAGGGTAATCAGGTACCTGGGTTATGCATTCAAATATCTCGAGTAGGAGTCGAGAGGTTATTTTACCTCTGTGCTTGGCACTGGGGTGCCTGCTGTTGGCATCCAGCCACAGCTCAAGGAGGATGCTGATAAACTGGAGAGGCGTCAGAGAAGAGCCAGGGGAATGATTAAAGGGTTAGAAAACCTGCCATATAGTGACTGACTCACGGAGCTCCATCCATTTAGCCTAACAAAGAGAAGGTTCGGGGGTGACTTGATCCCAGCCTGTAAGTACTTACGTGGGGAACAAATATTTCATAAGGGGCTCGTCAGTCTGGCAGCGACAGGTCTGACCTGACCCAGTGGCTGGAAGCTGAGGCTAGACACGTTCAGACTAAGGCGAACATTTTTACCAGTGACAGTAATTAAGCATTGGACCAATTCACCGGGGTTGTGATGGATTCTCCATCTCTGACTGTTCTCAAAGCTCTGCCCTAGGGATTACTGTGGGCAGGTCTCTGGCCAGGCCTATCCAGGGGTCTGGCCTGGTAACTAGGGGGCGTTGTAGACAATGGAGTCAGCGTCACCCCCAGTCTAGCTCCAACATCTCTCAGCAGAGGCACAGCAGGGATAGATAGGAGCGCTGGCTGGGGGAGCTCCCAGGGAGCCAGTTCTTGCCCTTGCCAGTCCCAGGCCTGTGTCTCTCTCCATTCCCCAGCCCTTGTAACACCAGCTCTACAGTGGGGGCAAGCTCAGAGCCACTCCCAGAGTAGAATCCCTCCCGCCTCCACCCCAAGAGATGGGATTTCCAGCCACCTTTGTGCAATGGGGGAACAAGACCTGCCAGGTGCCTGCCCAAGGAAGGGTGCCAGTTCCCCATTGGTGGGGCTGAGCCCGGCGGGCGAGGCAGGGCCAGGAGGCCAGGCCAGGGCTGTCCAATCAGCTTGCACCTCTCGGCCAAGGCGAACAAGGGACCGAGTAGTACCCACACTGATAAGGCCAGTCTGAGCCCCAAACAACTTGTGGCATCTCAGCTGTGGTCAGACACGCCTGGGCCGGCCCAGGGCTCTCTGCTGACCAGGGCAGGGTTCAAAGCAACACAGAGGTGAAACGCTACAGCTCCCAGTGGGTGTGTCTGCACATGCCCCACCGCACACGGTCACGGGGCAGCAGCACCGGCCCCAGTGCTCAGCGATGGGAGCAACCCACCTTTGTGCAAATCTAGCAGCACCCCTTAATCCACTGTTGCCTGCTCGGTGTCTCCAGCGCCTTCATTGCAGAGGGCGGGCTCTGGGACAGGCCCTTGGAGTCACAGCACAAGTGTGGGGTCCCCGTCCTGCAGGGGAAGGGCCGCACCCAGGCACTTCCAGGCAGCAAGCCAGAGCCTGCAACATTTAGGGATGGGGTCCTGAGGTTCCCTGTCTGGGACCCACCAGCCTTTGGAGACATCCAGATGCTGGAGGGTTTGGGCCAGGCCCACCCAGCCCCCAGTGGCCACACAAGAGTCTATCAATCCCTGGCACCGCAGCGATTATTTTCCCATGTCCCCAGCTCTGCCCCAGTCCCTAGCCAGGGGCTGGCGCTGCAGTGTGTATGCTGGCAGCACCTTTCCAGGGAGCAGCACGGCTGGGGCCATGGGCGCTGGGGCCAGACACAGGCGGGCGCTGGGAACTGATGCTGCACCTCCAGGCTCAAGGGGCGGCTGGAGCCCCATCCTGGCAGACAAGAGTCCCCAGCCCAAGTGCCGGTGCCTGCGGGGCGCATCAGGAATGAGGGCGAGATGCAGGGTCTAAAGGCTCAAGGCCACCAACTGATCACAGGCCAGGGCCGACCTGGCAGGAACCTGTTGTTTTAGCCCACTGGCTGTACTGCCCTGCATTTAACATAGCCCCCCATCCCCCAGCACAGCCCCCCATCCCCCCCAGCACAGCACCTCCCCCCCACAAGCACAGCCCCCCATCCCCGAATTTCCCCTCAATCCTCCAGAGCACAGACCCTGATCTCCCCCACACACTTCAGAGCCCCCATCTCCTCCAGTGCACAGACCCACCCCAGCCCACTGCCCTGCACACACTGGCCTCCTCCAGCCAGATCTCCCCAGGCCACCTGAAGAGTATCCTCCAGCCCCCTGGCTCCCAGACTGGCTCCAGCCCCAGGAGGCACAGTACTCCTCGTCCAGGTGTCACAGGGCTTGGAAGTGACTCTCCCATAACGCTGGGCCCAAGCCCCTCAGCCTCGAGGCAGCAGGCCCATTGTCCAGCCCCGTGGGCAGCCCAGTCCCGGCTCCCTGCCAGGGCCCATGTGCTGAACGAGAGCCATGATTCAGCAGGAGGAAATCACCGCAAACAGCATCGGGGCAGGCGGCCCCCTGAGCCAGGGCAGGCAAGTGCTGCATGGACCACGCAGCTCGGCCAGCGCCCCGCAGTCCTGATCTGCAGCGCCCGGCTAGCCCCGCCCTGCCGGCTAGCCCCGCCCTGCTGAGCCCTCCACCCCAGCAAGCGCCCTCCTCTATCTGGGCCTGTTCACGGCTGACTCCCACCAAGCGGGGACACCTGCCCAGAGAGGAGGCAACCTCAGATGGGGTGGTTGGGAAGAGGGACTGAATCTAGGCAGGGAGTGGGGTCCAGTGGTTAGAGCAGGGGCTGAGAGGCAGGACTCCTAGGTTATATTCCCCAGCCGTCACTAACCTACTGGTTTGGTGCTCAGACTAGGTCATCAGCATGGTCTCTTCTCAATGCATGATGCCCACTCACCGCATTGCCAGCACCCTCCAGCCCAGGGGCACCAAGAGGAGGGAATGAGGAAGGCAAGGGGGGAGGGATAGCTCAGTGGTTTGAGCATTGGCCTGCTAAACCCAGGGTTGTGAGCTCAATCCTTGAGGGGGACACTTAGGGATCTGGGGCAAAATCAGTACTTGCTCCTGCTAGTGAAGGCAGGGGGCTGGACTCAATGACCTTTGAGGGTCCCTTCCAGTTCTATGAGATAGATATAGCTCCATAGATAGATAAGTGTCTGAGCGGGTAAACTGGGGCCCAGAAAAGGAACTTGCCGATGGCTACATGGTGAGCCAGTGGCCATGCAGAGAATAGAACCCAGGAGTCCTGCTGCTGAGTCGTGGGCTCTCCCTATATGGGCAGCTTCCTTGCCTGGAGGGAGACTGCTGAGTGGTACAATCCCTGCTTCTCTTCTGAGCTCTGGGTGCATGGGCACATCCCACACTCATTCTCCTGCTTGTCTCTCACAAATTGTCTGTCCTTAGTCCCCAGGGGCTGTGAGCCAGACCCCCCGGCCCATGCCCAGCCCCTTGCACCCAGTGCGGAGAGCTCACAGGCTCTTGCTGTCTAGCTCCCTAGTGTGTGCAAACACCTGCACTGTCAAGCAAGAGACACCCCCACCCCCACCTGTCTGAGCCACACAGGTACGGACCTGACCAAGAGTGCAGGGGCAGAGCTGGAATAGCAGGTACTGCCGCAGGGCAGCAGCACAGGAAGATCACAGAACCAGGGGAAGGGTGGCCAGAACTGGACTAGTAAAGCAGGCAGGAAATAGGCTGCAGATCAGGACTCGCAGAGCTGTGGGGGGGGAGCCCAGGGCTGCAGGTCAAG